GCCCCTATTAAAAGAAAAAGCCCAAGAAATTCAATTAAAGCCACCCTGGCCAAGGCGCTATTTGAGGCATGAATGTCTCCCCTAAAGCTGCAGCAATCATGTGGCATTAGACACTTCCGGAATCCTATAGCCAACCTGAAAAATCCCAGACCCCCTTTTCCCCTAATTTTTGCTCTGATCTGTAATTTTATCCACATTTGCACTAGTTTGAGCATTCTGGCTCTCCCATCTGAAAGCCTGCAATTACTATATAATTCTTCGCAATTTCAGATGTCCTAATATGGACTGTAATTTTTGCGCAAGACAATTTCCTGCTATTTCAAGCATCAACATTGTCAAAGTTGTATGTACATAATAAATGGGAATATCAATGCATAGTTTTTAGCATAACATCTTGACTCCTCGATAATTATATCCGTTCGGAGCCTACGCAGAATTAGCCTGAATTGCATGGTAACTGCTGCTGCTTTAAAATTTTTAAAAATTACTCATAATTTTCCCAAAGATTACCAAGATCTCGAGTGCACAATGTCATCAGCGTAATGAAGAGTAAACATTTATGCTAATAATCTGCAATTTTTTTCATCAGCTATAAAGACAGAGGCTATATAGCCGAAATTTTCAGTCCTATTCTGCAAGCGCAGCGCTGCAAAAAGCCTGCGGCGCTCGGAGGCGTCTGGTCCTGGAGACCTCTTTCCACTCTTTACCTCAGGATAGGAGGATGGGGCTGGGGGATACTTTTTGGTTTTCTGGTTTTGTTTTGCTCTGGTTTGGTCGCTTTTGTATTTCCTATTTTTCCTTTTTTTTTCTTTTTTTCCTTTTTTTTTTCTTTTTTGCCTTTTCTTTCCTGTCATTCTCCCAGCCAAAAGCCGCCTTCGACCCTTTTGATTTGATGTAGCAAAGATTGTGTCCAGATTATCTGAAATTGACACTGAAGAAGGTAAGGGTGGAAACCGGTTTCATTTTTCAGAGGGTTGGAAGGCTGCGCTGCGCCCGCCGCAGCGGCTCCCGCTCCGGGAATAGGAGGGTGGGGGGAGTGATTATGTATGCACCAGCTAATTCTTCCATCAAAACTTCTTGTCAGCGATGTCAGGATTATTTTTTTTCCTTTTTATAAAAACACTTGATGTTTCAGGAAGTGTTAATCCCTGAAGGTTGGGGGATGAGGGAGGGGGTATGAGAGGAGTGGGTGGGGGGGTGACAGTTTCTTGAACCTGGGGAAGGCACCCTTTAGAGCCGTTTGCCAGTCTACACTGAATTGGGGTTTGTTGTAGAGCTGGGACGGAAGGAGGGTTTCTTTGAGTCGTGGGAGAGAGAGACCCTTACCCTCTCTATTGCATTTGATAGAGGTTTCTATGGCCATGAGGGATGAGAAGCAGAAAAGTCCGCTTTAGCCTTTGATTTCGGGGTGTTTAACCCAGGCGGTGGGATGACAAAAGCTAGAGATTTTTGAAATCGGTTTTTTAAAGATACAGAATGAAAGACATGAGTAGCAGGATAAAAATATATAGCTAGGGGCCTGGATTGCTTCTTTCCTCCCACTTTTTCTTGGGATCGAGTTTCACAGGTTTTGTATCCAGCACCCAGACCTACCTTTCTTCTGGTGACAAAAATTGACAATTTCTTCAAGGGGAGAGATTTAGTTAATTTCTACATCAAATGACTCTAAGAGTAAATTCATACTTCTGTGCATATAGATGCGGGGGATTCTAAAACTTTTTGTGGCTCTTTAAACTAGTGCAGAATAGGCAAGTCTGGAGAGCCATCTGACCTAGCCCAGTGCAGATCTCAAAAAGAAAGAAATAAAAATAAAACATAACAATCAACGAAGGAACGTTGTGAATTATAAACCTGTTTCCAATGTTGTATTTTAAAATATTGCCTAGATTTAGGAGCTTGATTTTTCCATAATTAGACCACTACTAGCAGGGCCACTCAGTCCCCAGCTTATGAAACCCAAGACCAGTGAGGAGGGGGCTGGGGATTGTTGCTTCTGTCCCTCCACCCCCACCCTTACCCCTTTTAGAGCGAGTGTGTGAGAGAAGATATTAAAGAGGTATCTGTTGTTTGGCAATTTTGCTAAGTCTGTCTTCATTACTTCGACGCAGTGCATTTGCTAATTTGGAGGCCCGGCCATTGACAAGCTTGCTTCATACACCTGCAAGCAATTTGCCGGCTCCGGTACCGGAGAATTGCAGAGATGGCAGCTCGCACCTATTTGATTTTTTTTTTCTTTTCTCAATGCACAGCAAATTTGGCTTTCAGTGCGTTATCTCTTTTGTTAATGCAAAAAGATTCCCTGGGCGAAAAAATTGCTCATAATTACCAGAGAGATGGGGAAACTGCATTAGAATAAATAAACCTGAAATTACTGTAATTATGTTGTGTTTGATGGGCCCGGCTTGTAATCAAGAAGAGAATACAGTGAAATGATGCTGACCCTCTTGGGTTTGCAGCTGTACGCGCACTTTGGGGTCTTTTTTTGCAGAAAAGAGTCATTTTGATAATCATTAAGCTGTGTGTAACCTATTTCAGAAGTGTTTTAAAATGAGGTTCACATTTTTTGAACAAGGGGGAAAAAATCCCAAAATTGCATTTTGCCATTACAGACTCATACATAAGGAAAGGTTGTGTTTTCTAAGTGACAATTGTTAAGACATAATATTCAAAATCAGTATTTAATCATTATAATGAGGTATTGTTTAAATATAACCACCTTTAGATTATTCATAGTTTAATTAATATACTCATTATGAAAATCTTTGAATCAGATATTTGATGAACTACTTGTCAGTAACAAGGCAGCATTAATTAGACCTATATTGAGATTAACATTTTTTAAAAGTACAACCGCTTATAATTATAATAGAGCCTAACTAAAGACCGCCTTCGTTGAGCTAAAACTAATAATTTCTCTATTTGAACTGTTAGCATGAGATTATTAAATTAGTATAAGCTAGTATCTCAACGTATTAAAATCCACTTGACCAAACAGATTTTGCCTGTGGCTTCAGGCGTTGGGCCCTGTCTGCCGTCTGGGGTACCAGAGTTGGATGCTTGAAAGAAATCTGCCCAAACCTTCCCGCTAGCAAAGTCACATTTGGCAGGGGAAACCAAATCCAGGAAGGTCCCTGTCCCCGCGCCGGAGCCCAGCCCGGGAAAACAGTTTCCTCTTTTTAGCTTCGACACCCGCCCGCATGCATCCTGGTCTCCAAGGTCCGATCACCTCCCCTTAGCCCTCCAGGTTCTGGGGGCTTGTGGGAGAGGAAGAGCCCCACTCTCAGGCCCAGAAGGAGCCTCGAGGTTCCCCGCTCCATTCCCCACCACCTCCCCTGCTCCCTCCACCATTCCCCCCTTCCCCTCCCTTTCCTAAAGGGCGTCGGAGAAGCCTGGCGCATCCGATCTTTCACCAGCACCAATTGAAAAATGGGTGATTGTCATAACACAGATCACTGCCTTCCCCTCTCTGCTCCCCACCGCGCGCTGCAAAGGGGCCCCCAAAGGCGGAGCACCAGCCCCCTCGGGAAGCAGTGTCGGAAGGCGAGTTCGAGGGAAGCGGGAATCTTTCAAAGCAGCCCGTCGGGGCCCGCAGCTTTCCTGAGCTCTCTCAGCTTGCTGTGGGGCCTGGGGCTGAGGCTGGTCTGGGGCGCAGGAGGAGAGTGCCAGACTGATGCTAGCGGCTCAGAGCCCACGTTCTTCTGGAGTGTACTGATCAAAACGGTCCACCGGAGGTGCCCCTTAACCGCCTGGCCTTGGGACTTCTGCGCTGGAGGGGGTAGGGGCTTGGCTTGACAAGCTCTCAGGTTCCGTCGAGTCAGCGGAGCCCACCTGCCCCTCCCTCCTCACCTCCGCTTCTCCTAGTCGCAGAGAAAAGCCCGGGGTCATTAGGCAGGAATGGGCCTCTCGTTATGGATGGGCCCGGATGGGTGGGAGTGGCTGTGGAGGGGCCCGGGTGGCGCCTTGGGACTGTCCCCCGGAGCTCACTGATTGATTGGGGGGTAGCGTGACAGACGTGTCCTTCCGGCCCCTTTCCTGCGTCTGGCCTCGTCTTTTCCGCCTCGAGATCCAGCACCCTGCGGGTAAGCAAAAGCCGGGAGGCCAGATCCCGGCGGATTCGAGGGGCATAGTCGGGTGTCTCCACTTGCAGTCTTCCAGGCCCCCTGCAAGGTGACTGGGCGCGGGGGGCACTTACATCTCACAGGGCGGCTGCTTGTGAGCTCTGCTTTCATCTCATTTCAGACGGCCTTCACAGTCCCTTTGGTTCCTGAGTCCTGGCTCTGCCAGGCCGCACCTGTTCATGATTCCCCTTCCCAGGAACCCTTGCCACCGCCCTCTAACCCAGGCAGGGATCAGACCCTTTGGGGGGGGTGGGTGCAGGAGTTAAGTCTTGAAGAATGGTCCCAGCAGGGGCTTCGCATACCTCCGCCGTTATCCTGCTATGTCTGGAGACGGGAGTCGCTGCCCCTGCCTCATCTGTCCCCAGAGGTGGCAGTCTGCTGCCTGGCCCCAGCACCCCTCACACAGCACACCAGACAGCAACTCTTTCTCGAAACCATAATTTTACTGTCTCGGAGAAACTTTATAACTTATTTACAAAGTTCTTTCCCCCCCCCCCAAGATACAAAGCAATAAGTTAACATTCTCAATATAAAACTAAACTTTGACATAGAGAACACAAAACACGGTTGATTTCATTTGATCACATTTTCCAAATTTCACAAGAAAAATGTCAAGATTCTCATTTCACAAAGCATCGGGTTTTACAGCCACACACAACAGAAAAAAAGCTAAGCTTGTGCAACATGTTTACAGAACAATAATAATAACAATAATAATTAATAACAATAATATGTACAGCAATTAGATCCTGCACTGGAGACTGTGCATTCAGGGTGGTGACTGGCATTATTCTGTGGTCGAGCCTCTGGGGATTGTTGTAAAGCTGCTTTCGTCTTACTTTAAAGCCCACCGGCATTAGGGCACTGGCGCACCCCTGCACGTTTTCTCTCCCCGCCCATCAGTCCTCTCTCTCCACAAGGGAAGAATTAGGATTTTCCTGCTTAACCAGGCAAAGCGATCAAGCGTTCTTCCCGAGATGAGGAAATTGTGTTGGCTTCATTTCTTTCTCTCTCTCTTTTCTTTTTAAAATAATACGGGACATGTAAAAAATGCAAATCATTCGTTTCCAACCTCTCCATACCAGCGAAGTACAAAAGTTACTATATAAATTAAAAATCACCAGGTCCTCCTTATTCGTTTTTCCGGGTGCGTTTAAAGTAATGGGTACGTTTGGACCCTGCGCTCCTCGCGCCCCACAGAACCGTGAACTGACCGAACATTCAGCCTCAAGCGAAGTCCATTTCTCAATAAATAAAACCCCCTCCCTCCAATTTCCCCCAATCCCCGAACGAGCCACACAGATGGTTAGGCAGGCCCAGGAAAAGGTCCGAAAAGACAAAACGTTCCAGTATCCGGAGCAGGGTGGCCCGGTGGACCAAGCCTCCTCCGACCTGGTGACTTTTTTCAGCGGCCGAAGAACGAGGACAGCGGACGGACGAGAACCTCGACTTCGTCAGCGCACAGATACAGAGCGAAAGGAGACAAGAAACGGACAGGACAGAAAGAGCTTTTGCTTTTTCTACATTGTTTTTTGTTTTGTTTTGTTTTCCTGATAGTCCCATACAGCTGAGCGTCGGCGGTCGGGTCCGGCGGGATCTTGCTGCGGCTCCCGCTGTCTCAGGCCGCTGTGCCTGCGCTTCGAGGCCACTCTGCTGTCACCGCGCGGCCGAGGCCGGGGTTCGGGCAAGGGCGTGGGCGCCAGGGAAGTCGCCGAGCCAGACCGCGCGGCACTCGGAAGAGGCGGCGGGCGTCCTGCCTTTACTGTTCCTTCTTCTTTCCCTCTGGGCCCTTCTCCTCCGGACCCACGGCACGCGGACGGGGCGGATGGACCGGGAGGCGAGAGGGGCCCGGGCAGAGGGAGACGGGAAGGAGGCGGGCGGATGCGGACGCGCAACCTCACATGAGCTGGGGTTGCTGCATAGCTTCTTGGTGCGCCGAGGGGTACCACGACGTGTAGCTGGGGATGTAGGAGCCCGCGCTGCCGCCCGAGCCCTTCCCGGAAGAGGAGTTGGGGTTCCAGCCGGGTGGCACTGGAGGAGAGCCTGCAGACAGCGCCCGGCCGTTGGCCAGCGCGCTACCCTCCAGAGCTGCCCCGCCCTGCTTCATCAGCTTCTTGAACTTGGAGCGCTTGTTCTGGAACCAGATCTTGACCTGCAAGAGCGGACAACAACGTGACTCGGTCTAGGTCCATTGTGCCTACCTTGGTCCTGGGGAGATAAGGGGGCCGTGCGACAGCGAGAGAGGATACCCCGCGGGCCCCTGCCCTGCGCGACCTGGCAGCTCCCTGCTGGAGAAGCATACACACACCCCCTTCCCCCATAAGAACCGAAGGCTGGGAGGCTCCACCGCGGGCCGCCGGTGGCCGGCAGGGGCAGCTCTCTGAGAGCCAGGGAGCGTGGTGGTGAGCGGTGCAGGGATCCAGGCCTTCGCCTGCCTTGGGACTCAGCCCGAGCCCGGCAATCTTTTGGGGAAGACGCGGAGCCTGCATAACATCGAGGCTTCAATTCCAGTATGAACATCAATAAAAGAACCGAGTGGAGAAGAGAAGTGGAGGAAATTTATTTCCAGTGTGACCCGCCTTCTCTTTGCGCCATCATTTCAGCCCTTGAGCAAGTTGCGGGCTGACTGAGGAGGCCACAGGGTTTTGTTAAACTTTTCATTTGGACTCAAATCCACCTTTCCTTAGCGTCTCCTAACTCTGCTCCAAATCCCGGCCCGGACGTTGGAAACCCGCACCAGTCGTGATCAGAACGCCCAAGGGGTCCCCGGAATCTTAGAGAAACCAGGGAAGGAAGGTTCCGTTTCTCCTCCAGGGTCTGGGACTTGGGAGGTGAGAGGGCGGAGGAAAGGATTCCCCCTGCCAGCCCAAACCGGTGAGAAGGCGGAGGAGGAGGGAGACAGAGGCTCGGGCCCAGGCCAGGAGTGATTAGCCACACACTTTAAAGGCAAAGAAGGGATTAACCCCCGCGTCTATTGTTCCAGTTGTTCGGGCACGTGTGACCTCAGAGTCCCCAAACAAAATGCCTAGGGAAATCCTTCTTGTGCCCTAATCAGATTGTCCAGGAACGGAGGGCAGCGACAGAGCCAGGGCAGAGAGAACTGCGGAGGAAGGAGAGATGTTGCGAGAGCCGGGGTGGGACACACACACACACACACACACACACACACACACACACACACACACA